CCCACCAACCACCATATTTCAATGTTTACTGAAACAGGTCTGTTCCTACTTCCATCATTTTTGCCTAGACAAGAATTGCATACCATTTGGGCTGCCCAACCTCCCACCCACAACCTCCAGGTTCATGTCTTATGTCCCAGGAGGATGTGGGACCAATCTGATGCTGTGCAATCTCATGAATGCGCAGTGGGCTGTTAAACAGCAGGAAGTCACAGCTGGCTCCCATAGCCAAGATCGTGGCATTTGGGGATCCAAACACTGGAGAAGTACCAGCCCAGGTGAAGAGAGTGCTGACTCCTGGGCTGGTGAGTGTCACTTTCTTAAAAAAGTCAGCAGCTACAGTATTTATATATAGGCTGACTTTTATTTACTCTTTAACAAAAAAAAAAAAAAAAAAAAAAAAAAAAGGGAGACTGGCTTTCCTCTTTACCAAGCCTTGGTCAATGGTGAGTGTCCACTTTCTAATCTCAAAAACACATTGGAAAAGTGCTCTCAAACACATGCCAATACATAAAATAAAACACACATTGATGTAGGACAATGCACCTGCCTACAAAAAAAAATGCCCCTCTAGGCACATGCATATATCTAAATGGACCCTGAATCATTAATGTGGGCAGCAGAGTTAGGTCATGAGAACACTGAGTGAGCTGCTACATCTAACAGTATAGACTATTGTTTTTGACACAAGGGGATGCATGCTAAAATATTTTGTTCTTTAGACTTTTTTTGAACCAATTTTGGTTTCTTTTAAAAATGATGTATCAAAGAGAAAAAAAAAAAAAAAAAAAAAATCACCAAGATTAAGATTTATGCACCACTGGGAACAAATGTCATTGCTTTGTAGTGGCCAGCATACTTTCATACAATCCTGGTCACTGGGTGGCACTGTTGTTAGAACTATGGTATTGCTGTTCCATTTGACATGCCTGAGCGAAAACATTTTTTCTTTTCGAATGTGAAAAGGCTTTCTACTGCATTTCTTGCACCAAGAAAATGAGTGGGAAACTGACAAAGCACTCTTCGAAGTGTACCTCTACCAAAGTGAATTCTAGGTGTCTTTTTCCAGTCTTCAAAATTGCTGTCAACACTAACAAAGAACTGTAATTTATCTATTCTCATCTGATAGCGACAAGAGGAACAGCAGTCTATCCATCAGAATAAACAAGGAAATGAAAGTGGGCTATATCTTCAGCACAACTCTTAATTTCTGTCCTATACAATTAAGTTTGGCCACAGAAAGCTAAGATGAAGATGTCAAATGGGAATGAGAAAAAGTATTTATAGTACTCATCTACATAGCGCTCACGTATTCTGCAACACAAACCCTAGAGCAATGAATACCTGGACTCAAAGAATATAATATTACACACACACAACCTATATAGATGTAACGTAAGGGTCAGCCTAAGCAATCTATTCAATTTGTATTAAGACAAGCCCTTGTACAGTTGCTGGTGAATCTAAAGGAGATTGTACAATCAGACTGGAACAAGTAACTTAATGGTTCTACTACTGGATGGAAGGGAAATAAATACCCAGTAAATCTTAAACTGATAATACATGGATTGAAATTTGGCTGGTTCAGTAGGAACTGGATGAATTTCAATCCATCTATGGGCTAGCTCGTTGTACACAAGCTGACCTATCAAACATCTTGTGTACAACAAGCCTGTCGGGTTTTTCCCCCCGAACGATCTGTGCCACCGGCTGTAGTCAGCAACACTGATCATTATGTTCTTCGGGCAGGGAAGGCTCCTCTGCCGGCAGAATACAATAGCTCAATAACTCAGATGAAGCATCCAGATTCCAAGGATGTAGAGTCCTTGGTGGACATTTAACCCATGATCCTCAGTACATGACACATTTGCCATCTTTTATCAGTCAAATGTTTCAATTTTATAATTAGCGGTTTGATTTGGGCTGCTCTGTAGAGCACACCTGTGTCAGGGAAAAAGGTCAAACAGCTGAAGGTAAAAAAAAAAAAAAAAAAGGAAGATTTCACATGCTAAAAGTTGACTTCCTGAAGTGAAAGACACCTCCACCTCTAACTGCAAGGGTATGTGCATTATCATCCTATCCAATGGCCAGATCATTGCCACCTGGGAGGTGGGCTTATGTATTTTGCGGGTAATGGTCTGATTTGAAGATCAGATTCAGCGGTCTCTTAGGTGCTTCTGAAGCAGTTTTGGTACATACTGATATTTTAAGGCTGCTTTTTGAACAAAAAGGTGCATGTCAGGGATACTACACAGGAAAACGTTGGTGAAGGTTCTCATTCAGCTGCACTTGGTCTGTTATGATGATGTTCATAGCTTTTCCTGGTCACTTCTTTGGTTTAATGAGTGTCAGGATGATACTCCAGCAATTCTAACCACCCGGCAACACAGACACCCTAATCTAATCACCATGGAAAGGCAGATTTACTTGTCCATGAACAAGTATTCCACATATAATGTTTTACTATCTCTTTCCAAGCATTTTGACCTTTAGCCAAGTAAATTGAGGGATTACACCTTCAATAATGGGATTATGCATCTAGAACAGGGCATTTTCATACCTCCCATCCTGTTCTTTGAAAATTAGCATCTGCCTTTCCATGGTCATTGAACTAGAGTGTCCCTGATACCTTTGTTGTGTTTTTCCGACACTCTTTGGAACTGAAGAAGTGGCTTGGATAAGCTACAAAATATTTTCAACATTACAGAACAAGTCCAGTTGAATGCAACTAACTACTACTAGCTATACAGTTAAGTGGTCCTCAGTCAACAGCAGTGATTGCAGTCCTGTAGCATAGAAAACACAAAGTCAAATTAAAACTGTCACTTTTCTGCTCAGCGTAAGGTGACCGGTATATCTATATGAAAAATCCCCACCCACTAGCCCCAGAATACAGTTTCTCTTTCCATTTCTAACCCTGGTGTAAGCTCTGTGTCGGATGGTGTTGGAGCTTACACTGGGTTACCTTCTTTGACAGATGACAGTGTTTAGGTCTGGAAACTCAAGCCTGAGAACTGCATCCTGGGGAGGAGGCCATAAACTCTACCCTATCTATAGTGCGATCTGAAGAGAACTATTCAGTGCCAAACAGCAGATTCTTCTTAAAGTTGCCCAGTGGATCTGGTTTTAAAACAGTTAAACCAAAAAACTACTCACCTCAATCCTAATGCTAGTTGCTGTAATCCTGACTCATTACTTTTTAATACTTTATGGCAGAGATCTCAAAAAACTTTCTAAACAAAAAAGGGCCAGTTTACGGTCTTTCAGACTATAGGAGAGCCAAACTTTGGCTATTGGGAGTAGAAAAGGTCCTGATGATAGTGGGGATAGACAATGCCATATCGTTGATGTCAGCGGGAGGAATAGTGCTCATCATTGGTGTCATTGAGAAAAATTGTGACCTATCATTTATGTTATTGGGCCCCATCATTGGTGTCAGTGGGAAGAATTGTGAGCTATCATTGATGTCCTTAGGCCCCATCATTGGTGTCATTGGGAGGAATTGTGCCCAATCATTGGTGTCAGTGGGGGGGGATTATGTCCTATTGTTGGGATCATTGGATGAAATAGTGTCCCAAGGGCTGGATAAAAGCAAGTAAAGGACCACAGTTTAGACACCACTGCATTATGGGAATGACCTGGAGCAAGCTCTCCTTACAGATCTGCATACCAAAGGATAGTCAATTGGCATAAACCGAATGAAGATCACAATGGCAGCCTCCCTATTTCTGGAATGACAGGCTTACTTTAAGAAACTCTTTTAGCATGGAAAGGGAATTGAAATACAGTTATCGTAACATACTTGATAGAATAGAAGGGTTGAAGTAGCAATCTACTGAACTGACAAGTTTCTGAGTCACCTCAGACTTTGTGTCTATCTGAAGAAAAAAAAGCATTAATAATGCCAATGGTAATAAGCAGATGCTTTGGCAGAATGGTTTATTTTCCCCCCAGCGATCCAGACAAGCAGCAACAGGCCAGAATCGGGTCCCTGCTGAACCACTGCTAACTTATACAATTTGACTGCTACATTTAGAAAGTAATTGTCTGTCAACGCCAAGAAGTGCTGCCAACTCCATCCACGTGAAACAAACATGGCTCTGCACAATGACAGTAATGGTTTTCTTTGTACTTGCAGCACAATGAGCTCCAAAACTTGAATTTTTTTTCTTTTACTAAAAACAATAAATAACATATATAAGATTCACATAATCAAAATTTTTAATCTATGACCTAGAATATAATTATATCTGCTATAATACGAGTAAAATCATCACTGCCACTCTACCAAGTGTTACCCAGAAAATAGTCATCTGCAATCTCAATGACAATCTGTGCATATTCAGTGAAACAGCAGCTGTTAAAAGCACAAAATAGAATTGTTTATTAATTCTTTTTTTCACTGCAGAGGAAAAACTAATATGCAAATCAGCGGATCCTTATACCCCAACAATTGTACTGCCCGTGATGTTTTGTTCATGTGGTCCAATGATCGACAATAGTCAGCAATTTGATGGTGTTCTAGCTACTAGAGCCGGAAACTGGTGCTCAGCGGATGTTAAAGAATTTTTACATTTTTACATAGTTACATTGGTCCAGCTTGGATATGTGTATATCATACCTGTGGGATCCCTCTAAAAGCAGGAAATCACTGTAGTAGACACCACTTCTCCAGTGATCTCCACCAACCTCTGGGTCTCATTCCGAGTGCATGCACTCCTGTATTCTGAACACAGGAGGTTGGCCACTGGGCACGGATGTTATGCAAAGAATGCTTTGCATTTCACAGCATTCTCTGACTGGACAAGGTGGAGAGCATGACATGACTGCCTCACCTCTTCCAATCAGAAAAGGCTTTGCATTCATTAAAAAAATCCAAAGCATTAACTGAATGGTGCCCGTTCAAAAAGGTTTTTCTTCTTTATAGTATGGATTATGGATTTCCTAAAATGCAATATAAAATGAGCTTAGAGGAGTTCCAGTATGGATACAGTGTGGACCAGGGGCGGACTGACCATTTGGAAACTAGGGCACTGCCCGAGGGCCTGGGGTCAGTAGGGGGCCCCATGAGATGCCCCTGGTGCCTTTTTCATAGGCTTTTTTGAGTTTGGGCAAGGACACGGGGGCCCCTTGATCCCCTATTGCCCGGGGGCCCCATGAGTTGTCAGTCCGCCCCTGGCGTGGACAATAACTTCCTGCCTTCTTGTTGTTTCCTCATCTCCTGGGGTCCAGCAATTTTTCTGCAGACTTGCGCCATGTAGAATTCACATTCTCTCAACCTATCAGAGAATGGACTTTAAAATGCATGGCTTCAATAGGCTGCAAGGACAGAGCAGTGGCTGCAAGGAAAGCAGTCTACATGCAGCATAGAAAACAAAAAAAAAAAAAATCCAGAAAAAAAAGCCTGGCTACCATGACACAAACACTTGTTTCTGTGTACAGACAGCATGCCAACCCCTGATAAGAATCCATTAACGTCTCTCTGTTTTGGTTGACTAAAATCCCCTAATTTCCCCACACGCTGGTGAAAATTACACACAGGTGCAAGTATGATCTCTGTCTGTGTAAACCTGTATCACCCCTAGAAGATTGACAGATTAGGATTTCTGATCATTTGGTATAACTGTGCCCTGGCAAAAGCCGCCATTATTTTAAAGTGTACAGCTGTCTATGCTGTCCTATTTTAGACAAAGGAAAAGAACACAGTTTTCTTTTTATTCATAGCAAAAAAAAAAAAAAAAAACTAAACAAAGAAACCCAGGAAATTCTTACTCAAAGGAGAAAAGCTGGCCATCTGCATTAGGTTGCAAGAGAAATCTCTTGATTCCTTTCCCTGTTCAGCATGGATGGAGGAATCTTTTGCGCCAACTATTGCATTCTGACGGCCATCACCCGTAGCTGTCAGAATACCCAAGAAATGACTGCATCTGATTGGATGCAGGTGCTATTCAGCCAAGAACCCTCCATCCGGCTCGCTTTTTTCAAATGACTTTTTGTTGAGCTGGGTTGTGCCAACAGGCCTGCCCACACAGCAAATGTTGCCCAATTCAGTAGGAAGCAGCCACAATTCTATCTGTGTATGGCCATCTTTACACAGACATGTACCCTACCAACTCTGGTACAGTGTGAGAATATAAACTTTGGGACATCCTCATCCTGACCACATAGTGAAAGAACAGAAGTTGACGGACAAGGGCATCTCTCTACTCTCTCCTCCTGACAGCTTGTTCTTGGCCCACACATTTGTATGTAGCACACCTGATTGCCCCCAGTACTGTTGTACAAGGGACTGCAAGAGGCTGATACCAAGTCAATTTTAGTATATATGTAATATATATATTATATATATATATATATATAAAATTATGAACACAGAACTACATTAAAGAATGCCTTCAACCTGATTTTTCACATTGCTTAATCACACTCTTTACGCCTTCTGTTGTCTAAATTGCAAGGATATATTAATATGAATATCTTCTCCTTGTTACTCTCGGCTTCCACATTTCTCACCTAGGTGAGATGGACATCGGCTAGTATGAAGCCCATGGATGTGCAATTCCCCACTAGAGCATTACGTATGCATGCGCAGCACTGGCGGCACACCTGGTGGTCTGGCAGGGAATAATTTGGTTTACATGTTGCCCATAGTAATGGCAACTTAAGCACTGTAGGACTGATGTCACTTAGGTTACCGTTAATATAATGTGTTAAAGTATCCCCACTACAGCGCCAGCAGCACATGCACAGGATTTGCATGGCTGAATCTGGATCTGTCCCTTCCCAAGATGGCAGCACAAAGGAGTCAAGAGACTTAAAAAGTTCACCTGAATGCAAGCTATGATAAGCCTGCATGGAAAAGGTAAGCAAGTATTGATTTTAGAAGTTCCATTTAATAAAATGTTTAACTACGAGTTCTGGGACGCATGCTTAGAAGCAGATATTCTACGTATTGGGCATACGACCCTGATTGCATAGGGCATGTGGTACAGTGTCCGGCAGCAGCGGATTTCAGAAGTCTATTGTCATATGCTTTGACAGGCTGCAGGCAGCGGGGCTGGACACTGCATCCATACCTCTTGGGCCCACGAAAACACTGGGATTGGACACACAGGATACTAAATACTTAGTGTGCATATGGCCTAAGAGATGGTGCATTCTATATAAAAAACACAGTCCGGATGTGTTTTTGCACACACATTTTTTACACTTTTTGATGCGTTCTGATGCGTTTGAAAAAAGAGGGGGAAAAATGCACTGGAACACATCAAAATGCATTAAAAACCTTAATCACCTTAAATAAGGACACATGCGTTCCAGTGAGTTTTTGATGCGTTTTCCACACTCCAGTACAGTTCAGTATAAATAAAAATGCAGCATGTTCTACTTTTCTTTCTGGAATGCACTGGAACTGACCACACTGGTGTGAACAGTGCTATTGAAAGCCATATAACCTACTATCCATGCATTTTTGATGCAGAAAAAAAAGCACTGGGCTACACGTAGTGTGAACCAGCCCTAAAAAAAAAAAAAAAAAAAAAAGCTATTTATAAACAAACAAACAATCAGACTCTGCCTGGTATTAGCCGCAATTTGATTGTATATTTTAGACCCCACCAATGCTTTGTCTTCCTTGCCTCTTTTATAGCAACTTCAGAACCAGTAACACTCTCTGCACCCTTGCTGGAAAAAGGATTTCCAAACTTGGAAAAAAAATGGATATAAATTTTTAACCTGAAATATGAGACTATGTCAAGACAGAATCATAACCGTGATGAGTATTCTAGGCTCGAAGTCCGTGTTAAGCAAGCTTTAAATCACGCCGTGCGTTTCCAATACATGTATTTCTTGGTGTAAGTGATGAAAAGTAAACCTTTAAGAAAGGATACAATCTGACTGAAGAAAATCTCATATTATACACGCTTTGTTGGAAGAGATGAGATCTGTTCAGACTGCGACACTAAATATATGTTATCAATCACAGGAATTACTGACCTACAGAGGCCTTCCTAATGGAAAATTACTTTAATAATTCAGCTTTGGAATATTTTTTTTCTTCTTGGAGAATAGCGCAACCTTACCACAGAAATTGTATAGTTTAGTTTCTCTTCAGAGAAAAGAAAAATAAGAAAAAATGGTTATGTAAATGTAAACCTGTATGATAAATAAAAACCATTAGACTGGGGCACCCATAAGAAATGTAGATGTTCCACCAATATAATTAATGTAAATAGACTGGGGTACCTGGGGCACCCATAAGAAAAGCAGTTTTCCACCAATATTTTGAATGTTAGCAGTCAGAGGCCCCCATAGGAAATGTAGGTGTTTCACCAGTATGACGAATGTATAGCAGACTGGAGTATATGGGGCCCCCATAAGAAATATAGTGTTCTACCAGCATGATGAATGTAAATAGTCAGAGGGTGTACATGGGATTCCGATAAGAAATGTAGTGTTCCACCACTATGACGAATGTAAACAGTCGGACTGGGGTATCTGGGGCTCACATCAGAAATAGAAGCAACATGGAATAGATGGTACGTGTAGCACTCTATGGCAATTCAGAGGTGTGGTATATTGGAAAAAAATTGTTTGCGCTTTGTTGGAAGAGATGAGATCTGTCCAGACTGCGACACTAAATATACGTGATCAATCACAAGAATTACTGACCTATAGGCCTTCCTAATAGAAAATTACTTCAGCTTTGGAATATTTTTTTCTTCTTGGAGAATAGCGCAGTCTTACCACAGAAATTGCATATTTTAGTTTCTCTTCAGAGAAAGAAAAAATAAGAATACATTGTTATGTAAATTTAAACCTGTATGACCGATGTACACGGTTAGACTGGGGTATCTGGGGCCCTCATAAGAAAAGCAGTGTTCCACCAGTATGATGAATGTACAGCAGGTTGGGAAATAGAACAAAGAAAAGATGGTACGAGTAGCACATTGTGGCAAATCAGAGGTGTGGCATATTGGAAATGGTCATGGCTAAGTAGGCTTGGATTGATGGAGTGGCTTAATCTCAGTAAGCATGGTAAAACAGTTTAGATTTCCCCGCCCCAAGAGACTGCTAGGAACCTTTCCCCGCGCCCCAAGAGACTGCTAGGAACCTTTCCCCCTAGGCCCCAAGAGACTGCTAGGAACCTTTCCCCTGTCCCAAGTGACCTACTAGGAAACCTTTCCCCTGTCCCAGGAGACTGCTAGGAACCTTTCCCCTGTCCCAAGTGACTACTAGGAACCTTCCCCTGTCCCAAGTGACTACTAGGAACCTTTCCCTGTCCCAAGAGACTGCTAGGAACCTTTCCCCTGTCCCAAGTGACTACTAGGAACCTTTTCCCCTGCCCCAGAGACTGCTAGGAACCTTTTCCCCCGTCCAGGAGAACTGCTAGGAACCTTTTCCCCGTCCCAGGAGACTGCTAGGAACCTTTTCCCCGTCCCAGGAGACTGCTAGGAACCCCCGTCCCAGAGACTGCTAGGAACCTTTTCCCCGTCCCAGGAGACTGCTAGGAACCTTTTCCCGTCCCAGGAGACTGCTAGGAACCTTTTTCCCCCCAGTGCCCAGGAGACTGCTAGGAACCTTTAGGAACCCCCCTGTCCCAAGTGACTACTAGGAACCTTTCCCCTGTCCCAAGAGACTGCTTGCCTTGTAGAAGCGCCTGTCAGAGCATACAGGCACATGACTAGGGTATAAAAGATGATTGGATTTCCATACTGCTTAACCACCACTCCAACACTAACTGTTACCGAATAAACCTATGAGACACAAGATGGAGTTTAATTGCAATAGCAGCCTTTTATTAACAAATCAAAAAGAAACATATTAACATACAAACATATTAACATTCCGCATAGTATGGAAAAAAGGAGCTGCCAGGTCGTTGTGGGCATGTATTTCCTGTACCTGGAATCTAATGCGCATGTACTTCCAGCCGCAAAAAAAACACAGACTCGGAAACAAATCACACCAACCATAATAATGGCAGCTGTATCCTGGGCAGGTCCCTACAAATGTACTTATTTTACCCATATAAGGACCTTGTACCCTACCGGCTGCCGTTGCATTA